TTCTCATGTGTGACGACTTTTTCCAACTCGCCACTACAACTAATCTCCGGGATCATCCCTTCAAACTGTATGTGCCCCAAGGGCGATTGGAGGTGAGGAATTATTTTTTTTCTCTAATCGGATCGTGGACCCATGGAATAATCTACCAGAGGCGATCGTTGTGTCCCAATCTGTGGAAACAATCAAACAACCCATATGTTACAGCACAACGTGAACTATGTGACTAAATAACCGCAAAAAACCTATGCACGATGTGACTCCGCCTACATTTACCTGAATATAATTTCTTTACATTGTTTCTAATTCTTGAGATTTTGATGTGACAAATAGGGAGTTCAAAGGGGCAAGCCGATTTTTTCCTCAAATACACTGACTGGCTGACCATGCAGAAGAGACGAGATAAGGGCTTGGACACAGTATCTGTCCAAGCAATTAATGTCGAACTATGACGCGACTGGTCCCTGTTCTCTACACAAGATATGCATCAGACACAGATTCACCAATGCTAGAGAAACCTGTTTACTTCAGCTAGTTATTGGAAGCTCACCACAGTCCCACATAATTGGACAATGCATATGGGCAGTAGTACGATGGTAAAGTCGAGTGAAGAAGCATCCTCTAAACACCTCATACATTTTCTTCATCTTATTTCTAGGCAACAACCCCAAGGGTCTGCACCAGTGGCTGCAGGGAACCACAGCAGACGCGTCTCCGTCGCGTTCCCATCCGCCTCACGGCGGCCAAGGTCTACTACACCAATCTCCCTACGTTGGATCAACCCTACCCTCCTCTCAACCTGTGTTTTGATGACGGAGCAGCCCCTCCCGGTCACGCTGCTCCGATTCCTTTGACTCAACCCAGTCGAGGTCTCGGCTTTTCTCCGTCTTCAAACTACAACCAGTTTGGATTCCGGCGGGGACTCCTGATCCAACAATGGGCTACGACACACACACACACAGTTTGATTGGATTAAGAGAACAAGTACTTACCGTTTGAGGGCAGCTTCATAGAGAGCATTCAATGCTGAGTAACGGGACTGCATGTCTGAAAGGGCATCCTCTGCACTCTCTTGCTCTTTTTCCTGCGGACTGGGTTGATGATCAGCCTTCTCCTGGCCTGCAGAAGGGTTACCCACTTCAGTACCTATCTGGGAGGTGGTTTCCTGCTCGTTGGTAACGGAGGAGAGCATTGCCTGTTTTTCCGCTAAGCGAGTCTCCAGGTTGTGGCAACGAAGGCAGAGTCGTTCAATTGCCTCATCTGCAGCAGCCTCCTGGTCTGTCAACTATAAGGACAAAAGACGCCCAGAGAGAGAGATAGATTAATTATTAACGAATTAATTACCAGTGCAGAAAGAGGATGACCTAACAAAGGGATTTAGGTCCTTACCCGCTGTCCCAGCTGACGAATACGGACGCGTAGGCGTTTGATTTGGGACTGGGCGTTAAAGAGATGGGAAGCCAGAAAACGGAGGGCACAAAGAGC